CTCAAACGGCTGCTGTTTAAAACAGTGGTATTAATTTGTTACTTTTTCAAAATCATTGATACATTATTAATAACAACAACCACTTGTATTTTTCTCTTATTATTTTCATCAACAATATGGTTTAGTAATTAAAATCATTTAATTATTGTCCGTGCAGAGGCTATTCTGTTTTATTGATCTGTGGCGCATTCATTTTGATTCTTTACACGTGTAATGATGTCCAATGACTTGTTTGCATTATTTATGCATTATTGTATTTATTTGTAAGACTTTTTTATGACTAAATTTGGTAATGGGAGAGTAAAATTATTTTTAAAACGTACACCGTTCAAACTAGGCTGCTTATGTTGAAGTGTTTGGGATGTGGTTTTTAATGATGAGACCTTTTTTGTAATCAGGGTCTCAAAAAGTATATAACAATTTGGATATAGATTTATCGGCCAACATATCGGTTATCGGCTTTCAAAAATAAAGAATTATCGGTTATTGGTATCGGCCAAAATTTTCATATCGGTGCATCCCTAGTCATGGTTATAGTTATCAATATAGTTATCGCTGTAGTTATCATTAAAATTATTGCTGTAGTTATTGTTATAGCTATCATTATAGTTATCGCTTACACTATAGTTATCATTTATAGTCATGGTTATAGTTATTAGTTATCGCTGTAGTTATCGTTAAAATTATTGCAGTAGTTTTGTAGTATTGTTTTAGTCATCATTGTAGTTATTGCTATATTTATTGTATTAGTTGTAGTTACCAGTAATCTCACATGAGTTTCAGAAGAGATCTCAGAAATGTCTGGAACTGTGCTCACTAATACAGTCAAAAACACGTCTGTGTGCGAGTGTGAGACTCATTGTTTTTGCATTATTGACACACTATTTTCCTAATTAATGCTGTACAGTTGCTTTGACCCAATCTGTATTGTTAAAAGCGCTATATTAATAAAGGTGACTTGACTCACCCACGCACTGCGTGCCGCTGATGTCAGTGGTGTATCCGGGTTTACAGACGCAGCTGAAGGAGCCCAGCGTGTTCAGACACTGGCCGTTCTTGCACAGATTCCCCATCACCTTACACTCGTCGATATCTGCAGAGCACACACAGATCATCCACAGATCCACACGCAAACACACTCAGCAGCACAAACACGCGAGCCGTCGGTGTTACCCTCGCCGTCGGTGGTGTATCCGGGGCCCAGCGGGCACATCTTCTTGTACTGCGTGGTCCCGGGCAGCGGGCAGAGCTCACAGTTGGGCCCCCAGCCGCGGCCCCCGTCACAACAGCACTCGGACTTCCTAACGCTGACGCGACTGCTGGAACTCATCTGACACATGGTCTGCAGAACCTCCAGGAAGCAGAAGCCCTGACGGTTATCTGACACACACACACAGAGTGTCTGTTATCAGCCCAGTGTACAATGGGTTTGTGATGCTGGTGCTTTACCAGGTTAACTAGCTTAACCTGCAAGACATCTTGCTAAATACAGAGCTCTGGCATGAAACTCTAGATGGCGCAGTCCGATAGGTCTAACTCAATCTGACCTAATGACATCATTATCACATGGCACAGCTGATTGGTTCTCTCCTGTATCGGTAGCCAATGAGCTCGCAGCTCAACATTTAAATATATGACTGGTGCTTGCGGTAGCAGTTTCTTCAGCTTGCTTCAGAAACCCTCCACCTTCCCCAGCTCCACCTGTATAGATCTGCTACGAGGTGATTCATGTATGCTATATAGGGGTTATTTCATGTATGTTATATGTGCAGCAGCAGTGTTTCTTACATGCTCACAGCAGCATGTTGTGGATGTATTGGCAGCAGCAAGTCTCAAAAAAAACTTTTACTTCACTACATTCCAAAGCATAATGTCGTACTTTTTACTGCACTACATTTCATAAATAAATGTTGTTGTTTTTTTACCTTTAATACTTAGGAACATTTAAAAATTTAGTACTTTCTTGTACTCAAGTAAAACTTTAAATTACTTTTACTTGAGTAAAATTAAGAAAGTACTAGATTTCTAATACAATTAAGTTTAAATGATATTTAATATGAAACGTAGTGCAGTAAAAAGTACAATATTATGCTTTGGAATGTTGTGAAGTTAAGGTTTTCTAAAGAAAAACACTGTTAAAGTACAGACACCTGAAAAGTACTTTCACAGCAGAGTAAAAATACTTCATCCGCCTCTGAATAAAGTAAACTGTGACATATTATACCCAAAAATTCTTCATACCAGTAAAATTTGAGACCAAAAATTATTTCTAAAGACACTTTGACCAGCTTTGAAACACCTTAATCGTAATATTGTTTTATTTATAATAAGGTAAATTACCGATGTCCATGTAAGCGTAACTCTTACCGATGCACTCGGTCCTGCTGGGACTGGGACTGAAGCCCTGATCGCAGATGCAGCGGTAACTGCCCACCGTGTTCTCGCAGCGGCCGTTCTCACAGATGCCCGGTTTGGCCGTGCATTCGTTCAGATCTGTGCGCAAAGTTCAAGTTTATTTCTAAAGCACTGAATAAAACAACAACGTTGACCATAGTGCTGTACAAACAATAGAGCAATTAGAAGAGGAAAACATTTTTAAATTAAGAAATGTAAAAAGAGAAACCTTAAAGGAGTAGTTCACTTCCAGAACACAAATTGACAGATAATGTACTCACCCCCTTGTCGTCCAAGATGTTCATGTCTTTCTTTCTTCAGTCGTAAAGAAATTATGTTTTTTGAGGAAAACATTTCAGGATTTCTCTCCATATAATGGACTTCTATGGTGCCCCTGAGTTTGAACTTCCAAAATGCAGTTTAAATGCAGCTTCAAAGAGCTCTAAACGATCCCAGCCGAGGAAGAAGGGTCTTATCTAGCGAAACGACCGGTTATTTTCTAAAACAAAATTACAAGTTATGTACTTTTCAACCTCAAACGCTCATCTTGTCTAGCTCTGTGTGAACTCTGTTTTTTCCGGTTCATGACAGTTAGGGTATGTCTAAAAACTCCCGTCTTCAAACTTCAAAATCATCCTACAACGCTGTTTTACTGTAAAGGGCGTTTGATCTTCTTTGCATGTTCACTTTGTAAACACTGGGTCGGTACTTCTGCAGCGATGTAGGACGATTTTGATGTTGGAGGAGAAAACGAGACGGGAGTTTTTAGACATTCCCTAACTGTTATGAACCGGAATGCACAGAGTTCACGCAGAGCAAGACAAGACATCGTTTCGCTAGATAAGACCCTTCTTCCTCGGCTGGGATCGTTTAGAGCTCTTTGAAGCTGCATTTAAACTGCATTTTGGAAGTTCAAACTCAGGGGCACCATAGAAGTCCATTATATGGAGAGAAATCCTGAAATGTTTTCCTCAAAAAACTAAATTTCTTTACGACTGAAGAAAGAAAGACATGCATCAAAGAAATTGCTTTTTTTTATTTTTATGACGGATGAAAGTTTTGGAGGCAGTCTGTAAACATGATTGACACAATGTGAGGTTGTATTTATTTTTTAAAGTGCAAAAATCTTTGATGAAACACTATCATAAAGAAATATGTTTTCAAATGGCTTTTAAACTGACTGAGCGTCGGTACGTTCCTAATATATTACATATAACAAGAAGTTTCTGTGATTGAGATCGTAAAGGTCTCGTTGGTTTTTGTTCCTGGATTAGATCTGCGATATATGATGGGGCTATACCATGTAGAGATTTAAATACAAATAATAAGATTTGAAAATTAATCCAAAAAAGAAACAGGCCGGTATCAAATTTTCATGTCGCGATTAATTGCTCATGCTTTCATCACGGTATACGGTATTATCACGATATTGAAATTTAGTTGCAAAAAAGTGTTGTCATAATGCAGTATAACAGTATTTTTTATAACAAAAATAACTGAACATTTAAATATAATAAAGCAAAGATTGCATTAGTTAACCTTAGTTAATGCATTATCATTAACAATGAGCAATTGCTACATTTGATACAGAAGTTATTAATCTTAGTTCATGTTAGCTCATTAAATAACACAGTTGCAACTTTTGATTTTTTAACGTGTTATTAAATATTGGAATTACCTGAGATTAATGAACGTTTAGAAGAATTTTTCATTGGCAGTTTATGTTAACTAATGCAGCCCTAATGTGAAGTGTGACCGAAGAATAGAAAAATCTAAACACTTTCAAACAATATCTAGGGCATGTTATAGTCCAGATTAAAATGTTAAAATGTTTTGAAGTAAATAGCCTTAAGTTTTTGGCGCCGAAATAGCATATACACAAATCTGAACGGCAATTTAAATCATTCAGAAACACAAAGGAGCTCAGCTATTTTGGTTTCCGGCATAGATTTGTATAGATGCCCTATTCGACCGCTCCAGATACGTTGACGTCATTCACCATAATAATCAATGAATATTCAAAGATATACATGCGTACAACTTACTGATGTAGACGCACACAGTCAGCTTTCACTCAAGGTTTGCAGAGCGCTCCAAAAAAGGCGGATGGCTTACTTATCGCGACCCATAGAAACTAATGAGGCATCTACGTATATTTACACCACCGCTCAAAAGTGTGGGATCAGTAAGACCTGTAATATGTTTTAAAGAAGTATCTTCTGCTCGTCAAAGCTGCATTTATTTGATCAAAAATACAGAAAAAACAGTAATCTCGCAAAATGTTATTACAATATAAAATAAGGGTTTCTATTTTAATATCCTTTAAAATATAATGTATTTCTGTGATGCGCAGCTGTATTTCCAGCATCATTCCTCCAGTCTTCAGTGTCACATGATCTTCAGAAATCAGTATAATATGCTGATTTATCATCAGTTGTGCTGCTTCATATTTTTCTTTTTCAGGATTCTTTGATGAATAAAAAGTTACAAAAGAACAGCATTTATTCAAAATATAAATCTTTTCTAACAATATAAATCTTTGCTGTCACTTCTTATCAATTTAACACATCCTCGCTGAATAAAAGTTTTAATTTCTTTCAAAAAACAAAGAAAGAATAAAAATGTACTGACCCCAAACACGGTAGTGTATATTGTTAGAAAATATTTCTAATTTAAATAAATGCTCTTCTTTTTAACTGTTTATTCATCAAAGAATCCTGAAAAAGTAACACATCCTCGCTGAATAAAAGTTTTAATTTCTTTCAAAAAACAAAGAAAGAATAAAAATGTACTGACCCCAAACACGGTAGTGTATATTGTTAGAAAATATTTCTAATTTAAATAAATGCTCTTCTTTTTAACTGTTTATTCATCAAAGAATCCTGAAAAAGAAAAATATGAAGCAGCACAACTGATGATAAATCAGCATATTATACTGATTTCTGAAGATCATGTGACACTGAAGACTGGAGGAATGATGCTGGAAATACAGCGCAGCATCACAGAAATAAATTATATTTTAATGTATATTAAAATAGAAAAACATTATTTTACATCATAATAATATTTCAAAAATTTTTCCCTGTATTTTTGATCAAATAAAGGCAGCCTTGATGAGCAGAAGAAACTCCTGTAAAAACATAAATAATCGTTCTGATCCCAAACTTTTGATCAGTAGTGTACATCTATGGTTTCCGGGGTAACGGCTGTATTTCTGCTGTTTAGCGCCATCTGCTGTCAGAGAGTGAATGTGCTTGTTTGCATCAGATGAGATTTGACACAGCATACAGCGGTGTTGTGCATTGTGGCCAGTTGATGGGAAAAGTATTCGACACATGTCTAGTCAGGAGTCAGGAGTCTGCATCAGTAAGCATCGGGATATGAGCGCTCACCCACGCAGCTGTCTCCGTTGGGCTGTCTGGTGTATCCCGGCGAGCAGATGCACATGTACGTGCCGATCAGATTCTTACAGGTCATTCCTCTGGACGCACAGTCATCCAGACCCTCCTCGCACTCGTTCTGATCTGATGAGCACAAGAGGAGCGTTCAAACGTGATGATGTGTGTTTGTGACGCTGAAAGACTCGTCTTTACCTTTGCACATCCGGCGGTCTTCTCTCAGCACGTATCCCGCTGGACATTTGCATTCGTACGAGCCCACCGTGTTGACACAGCGGAACGCACACAGCAGGGGATTCTGGGAACACTCGTTGATATCTAAAAACACAGCACACGTTTTCATCAGACGTGTTCACAGCAGAGCCGTGGAAAATGATCAAAAACGTCCTTATCGTTCTGGTTATATTGTATTAATATACATATACTGTACGCTATGGAGCGTTATGTTTTTGAAAAAGTTTTACAAATAAAGTACTTAAAAACTATTTTTTTTACAAATTACTTTAAATCAGTGCTATTGGTCATCGTTATGTCTGTTAAATATAATTTTATATATTTTATATATTTTTATATATTTTATACCTATGGAAGCCTGTTTCCACCACAGAATAAAATAATAAAAAAAGGTAACTGCGACTTTCTTTCAATCTTGAGTTTATATCTCACAATTCAGAGTTTGTTTCTCACAAGTGGTAGAAAAAAGTCAGAATTGCGAGATATAAACACAGAATTCTGAATTTTTCTCAGAATAAGCTTAAACCTTAAACGCAATTCTGAGTTCATATCTTTCCATTTTTAATTATTACTTTTTTCAAAAAGTCAGAATTGTAAGATATAAATTCAGAATTGTGAGAAAAATGTCAGAACGTTTTATTAATATTTTATATTGATGGTGAAAACACAGTAACACATTAAATAAAACGTGAAAGATTTTTGAAATAGAAATAATAGTATTCCTGTAAACTGCACTCCAATAATATTTTTTTACATTTTCAATTTGTTTGTTCTAGTTTAGCAACATGCCAGCTACCACGGCTATATTCATGGTGAGAAAAAAAGTAAATAAATCATTAGATTTATATTGTTAATCAGCTGCTGCTAGTACTCACAGTCATACTCATGATGAAGACCCAGATATACAGCGGATCAGAACTGAACCAAACTGGGCTTCAGATCGAATGAACAAAGTGAGTGCCTACAGGAACATCAGCAGATCTGGAGAATAACTACAGCAGCACCTCATCACTGACCTTCACAGGTCATCATGGGTCCGGGCTCGAACCCCTCGTCACAGCTGCACTCAAACGCTCCCTCCACGTTTGTGCAGGAGCCGTTCCCACAGGGGTTCCCCAGCTCACACTCGTTCGTGTCTGATGACGGAGAGCGCATACACACACACACAGGTTTGTTTTTATGGTTTAGCTGTTGAAACACACACACACACACAATAACAATTACTGCCATCACGTCATGTGAGTGTGAGTGTGTGTGCGAGTGTGTGTGTGTGTATCAGTCTCTCTCTGTGTGTGTGTCAATGTGTGTGTGTGTGTATCAGTCTCTCTCTGTGTGTGTGTGTGTGTGTGTGTGTGAGTGTGTGAGTGAGTGTGTGTGTGTGTGTGTGTGAGTGAGTGAGTGAGTGAGTGAGTGAGTGAGTGAGTGAGTGAGTGAGTGAGTGAGTGAGTGAGTGAGTGAGTGAGTGAGTGAGTGAGTGAGTGAGTGAGTGAGTGAGTGAGTGAGTGAGTGAGTGAGTGAGTGAGTGAGTGAGTGAGTGAGTGAGTGAGTGAGTGAGTGAGTGAGTGAGTGAGTGAGTGAGTGAGTGAGTGAGTGAGTGAGTGAGTGAGTGAGTGTGTGTGTGTGTGTGTGTGAGTGAGTGTGTGTGTGTGTATCAGTCTGTGTGTGTGTGTGTGTGTGAGAGAGAGAGAGTGTGTGTGTGTGTGTGTATACTCACCCTCCTCCTCCGGAGAGGGGCAGATCTCACACGGGTCGCCCCATCCCTGACCCGGCATCACGCTGCAGCAGCAGGAGTCTTTAGTTGTGTTGAAGGGCTTCGGAGCCTGACAGCGTCCGTTCTCGAACTTAGTGTAACAATAATTCACACGAATATCTGACGACAACAAACACACATTGATTTCTTGTGTAAAGCTGCCAAAGTATTCTTAGATTCATTAAAGTAGAAGAATTTAGGAAGAATAATTTGGGAAGAATCAATTCAGAAAAGTAATTTGGGTAGAGTCAATTGAGAAGAATCATTTGAGAACTATTTAAGAAAGAATAAAGTTCAATCTTTCTAAAATGGAAACAAGGTGACTTGTTGAAAATAACTAAACATATAAAAACAAACTTGGCATTAGGAAATGACTTTCAATAAAGATATAAACATGAGGTTCACAGATGTAGATGATTCTTTCTCAAATGATTCTTCCCAAATGACTTTTTCTCCAATGATTCTGCTCAAGTCACAAGGTGCCTAAACATGATAGAGCCCGTTTAGATAGCAGAGTAAGTGTGTGTGCGTGTGTTTGTGTGTGAGAGTGTGTGTGTCTATGTGTGTGTGTGTGCGTGCGTGTGTGAGTTTGCAGATGCCTTTACACCCTCTAAACACACACACACACACTGTCCTGTCCATGGAGTCAGACTGGAAAGTGTAAGCAAGTGAAAGACAACAAATGCACAAGCAGCCTTGTGTTCTGTTTCCTTCCTACATCTCGAAGAAACAAATCATTCACTCATTAAACATGACGAGATTCCTGACTGATGACCTGCAGCATCACGGAATTGTGGGATATATATCTGCGATAACTCACCCATACATCTCTTTCCGGTCGAGGACAGCTGGAATCCCTCCGGACACTCGCACCTGAAGCTGCCTGGCGTGTTCACACACTTGCCAAAGATGCAGATCTCTGCCGTCTGAGAGCATTCGTCGATATCTGAGCAAACACAAACATGGATGAAGCGGTTTGAACCAGGGCTCTGAACCGGTTCAAGGAACGAAAACAAAAAACGGAAACGAATGAAAGCTTCTGTGAACGGAGAAAACAGAATAAAACTGTAGGCTTACATAAAAATTAATAGACTATATTGGCCTATACATTAAATATATTTCACTTAAATCATTGACAGATTAACAAAACGAAAGAAAAAAAAA